TACGACTCTCCATTGTAGACGGCTCTTTAGTTCCAATTCCTGTATTTCCTGCATTTCCTCCATTAGTTCGTTCCATCTTGCTTAACTGAACACAGCCCAGGGGCGTGCGCTATATAAGCAAAGAAGAAGAAGAAGAGACGCACGAAGTCCAAATATGGGCATAGATAGTCGAGCGTCATTATGCGCAGGCGCGTCTACTAAGCGAGTGCGAGCGAGACAAAGCATTGGAAAGAACGCGAGATTAGAAAGAGAAATGCCCAAACGTGCTTGAATGTTGAATGTTCACCGCATGCGCACAAAGCAGCTGGAGAGAGAGGCTACTATATTGTCTGCACCGTAACATGTGGACTTCAGGTCGGCAGTCGGCACCGTACTAGCAATATAGGAGTATTATATATATGGATGTGAGTTCGCGAGTACACGTGCTATGACAGTTTTGATTATAGTTTTTGTGTAGTTTTTGGAAAAGTAATACACGTCACCAAGGTACACGTATCTAGAAACTAATCGCGCACATAAATAAAAGTAATTTAACCAAAAAAAAAAAAAAAACAGTTCTTTTGATCTAAAGCATATATAAATACGTTAGATGTGTATGTTCGAGATTCTTGTTCTAACAAAGAACTTTTTTGGAAAAATCAAAAATAATAAATAAACAAGAAACATATGAAAGAGATCTTCACATATATGATGTCACAGAGTAAGTATAAGTAAAATTTGAACTTCACCAAAGTGAAATCTTCGGAAAACTGGATATAACCAGTATTTGTGTTGATGCAGCGCATTGAGTTCTTTTTTTCACGGCATGTTTAACATGCCACTCAAGATTCATATTGCGCGTTCTAGGATCTACAGTATTCCGGTGTTAACATACTAACATTAATCAACCGAGTTACCTCTCGCCTCTTGGCACATGTCTCATGTTTATTTTCTTTTTGCACGTGCGAGATCGTATGTACAAGATTTTCCGCAATCTACGATTCCCTATTCCTTCTTCATACGTATATAATATGTTTATCCTGCGCGTGTATAATCAATTAATAATAAGATATCAGCATGAGAGGAGAAGTAAACTTTATTAAAAATAATTCTTTTACTTTTTTTTTGAAGCGTTTGTTTTAGTGAAGTTCTGTATAAGTAATTGATAAAATACATAAAAATTTTTTTAAGTACATGTATATCTCTGTTTAACACATGTTACACTATACAGATAAAAGGTGAATTAAAAATTTAAAAGTTAATTAAATTTTATCTAAAACATGGGTTTGTATATGTTTTATATACAATATTTATATTATATATATATATATATATTATCTCTAAAAATTTAATTTATTTCAGAAATTAAAGAAACATCTCTAAATATAATAGCATTAGAATATGGAAGTAGCGATTCAGATGTAGAAGAAAAAACAAATACACTAGAAACAAATATACCAAAGGATACAGAAAATGTAGAAGCAATTAATAAAATATCTGTAGAACAGAATTCTGTAAAGCATGATTTAAACTATCGTAATGTGGAAGAAATATCTTCTAGCGAAGTCAGTGATAGTGAAGATGATAGTGAAGATTCTGACAGTAGTAGTACAGATACTTCTAGTAGCGAAAATGAATCAGATGTTCCTCATACTAATAGCAACAAGTATGTGATAGTTTTTTATTGTCTTCTAGACAAATAAAAAATAGTATAAATATCTCACAAAAATAGAAGTACTTATACATATGTTTTTTGTTGAGTAGAAATGGAAACAGCTCTTAATCTCACCTTTTTTAAAACAATTTTAGGAAAAAGGAAAACTTCAAAGAAAAAAAGCATAATAATGAATGTGACTATCTTCCACCACTGGAAAATTTAAATTTAAGTGTTCCAGAAGTCTCATGCGAGCTATTAGGCAAGGTAATGTGTGCATGTGTGTGTTTATCTACTCACATGTGAAGATATATGTATATATTTAAATCATATATGTATATTTATCAATATATATATTTAACTCATGTCTATCTGAATAATATAGATCCAGAAAATAGTGGAAGAAGTTGTAGTTATAGAGCCATTGCCTGATAAACCAAGGCTAGACATCGATACAATTTTATTCATTAATCAAGGTAGACAATCTCTTGGTAGAATATTTGATGTGTACGGCAAGGTGAGCGAACCGTACTATTGCGTTCGTTTCAACAGCTCCGAACACACACAGAAAAGTGATATTGTAGACAAACCAGTTTATTATTGTCCAAATAAAAAAGAGTATACATCTTTGATTTTTCTACATGAATTGACCAAGTTAGTATGTGAAACATCGTATTACATACAATTAATTATAATATTTTTCTGAAATAAAGCATTTTTCCCATAGAATAAAAGCATGTGATCCAGTTGGTGATGATGAGTCACCAGATTTTTCGAGCGACGAAGAGGAAACGACTTATTATGCACAACTGTCAACCAAGAAAAACAATAATGGTCCAAATGACAGGTCTTATAAACGACGTAGAACATCCGGTGAGTGTTCTGCTTTTAAGTTTGGTATGTGAAGTTGAGCATTAGAAATTATTATTGATTATTTCTCAGGTCCTGTCCAGAATCGGGAAAACAACTTACAAGCAAATCATTTGCGAAATCAAACAACTTCAAACAATCAAAATATTACATCTTTTAATGTTTTGCCACGATATTCATATCAAAGTAACACATGGTCATATAACATGCGCCATACGCATTCTAATCCCTACATTTCATTACCTAGACCTTTTTTCGCTCCTCCAAGATTCAATTATCATCCAAACTACCCGATTTTTCAGTACAATGTACGTCCGTATATGTGGCACATGAACCCACATGGATTAAATTCCCAATCTCTTCTTCCTCCTCCACCTCCTCCACCACTACTTCCTCCAACACTTCCTCTTCCTCCTTGTCATTCGACAAATAATTCGGGTAAAAAACCACAGTGAAGACTTCTTGATATGAATTATAAAATAGCTCAATTTGTATGTACATTAAAATGATACAATGTGTTTTTACATTAAAACACAAAAGTAAGAGTGAACATATGTAAATAGTATTCATTTCAAAATTTTACTCTTAGTATATAATAAAAATATTTTATATGAATATACAGTGTTTATATTTCTTCACATGAGTTTATAAACACACATCTCTTTATATCACATATTGTTTCCAAAACATTGGTTTTTTCTAAAATCATAGATTTCTAATTAATATTATTAATTTTATATAAATGTCTAAGCACAAAAAATAACAAGAGTACATAATCAAAATAGCAATTTTTTTTTATTAATCATTTGTCTTATTAATCATCAAAAAGTCGTTATGTTTTAGTTTGTTTACAATAGGTTCTTCTAAGCGCTGTTCTGCAATTATAATATCATTTTTTATTTCTTTAATGAGACCATCTGTAAGAAACAAAATGCTATTAATGTAAAATATAAACATTACAATAATCTTTTTCTATAAATATTAATAAAGAAAAAATGAAATTTCTCCGTTCTCACTCATACATTTTTTTATGTACACATACTCTATTATATAATGTTTATTATACATGTTACCTAGACAAGAAAAATCTCTTTCTGGTCGTATATAGCCGGCAATAATTACTTTAAGTTCCTCACCATAAAAATCATTTTCGAACTTATGTAATAGATGAACTTCCTACAAAAATGTATTTAAAACGTGTATCTTTTTAATTAATAACATCTAAAAATTTTTCTTGATAATATTCGTTTTGGTTTTGAAAATATATAAGTATACTTAAAATAGAAATGTACCTAAATAAACGTATTTTTACACAGTAGTCTTTCATTATTTAATATTGTATTTAATGTTATTTTTACCAATGATTTTTTTTCATTCTTAAAATATGGATTCCATCCTATGCTCGCAACCATTTTAACCACTTTCCCTTGTATGGAAGCCCAACCATAATAAACTCCGTTATCGAGTTCTTCCGGTAAGTTATTGACGACAGATTCCGGAAGATTAGCTAATATTTATATAAAAAGGAAATTTATATACAATTAAGAAAAAAAAGTTCTTTTTTTAATATTAAGAATTTTATAATCTAGATTCTAGTTTACGAGATCATATAAGAAACATTCTTGGAATCATCACAACATTATCAAATGTGTAATATATAGAATAATATATTATTGTTAAATATAATATTTTTCTATGATTTTGTATATTCTGAAAGTTTTTAAATTATATACGAAAGAATATATTATATAATAAAAAACAAATAATTTTAAAAAATTAAAAAATTGTGTATTTACATTAATTATGTATAGATAGTTAAAAAAACAAATTTTTCTTTAAAAACTGTGCTTTTTAAACACCACACGTGAAGAGCCACAGATGTGCACTTCCTGCACTTTCTATCTTACAGAAAGATTAAAAGGGATTTAAATATAGGTAAATATACACAGAAGATTGTTGTGAGAAACGAAGAACAACGTGAAAGGTGAAAAATAAACAGTCTATAATAACTTTTTTTTATCGAGATACGTAGTGTAAAAGTCCGAATCTGCAGTGAAAAACCTGTTTCGCACACATAATTTAGAGTATTCGATGATTGTGCAATTTTTAGGTTAGAATGAGGGAGATACGTATTTGATTGGCACGTGTTCGATTAAGTCAGTTAAGTCGTGTTATCCTTAAAATAATACCTGTCGGAATACCAAGCGCCTTTGAACCCCTACCAAAGCCTTTAGTAACGGCTCCGGACGCAAAATATGGCAATACCTTGCTGCACATAACTCCCGTTTATTTCATGCCAATCGATACTATTCTGCTAAATAAGGAGAAAAAAGCGATCGAGATAAATGCTGTAATAAATGTGACGTGTACGTTTCTACCAATGAGTGATGATGTGTGTCAGGCGTTACACCTTGAGATACTTAAGTAGGAAACACGCGTAAACTCTTGCCTTATCTGTCTAGAAATAAGTACGATGACGAGTAATTTTATTTAACGTACTCATTTGTCTTTGCACAAATATTATTTTTTGTTAGTTTTTGAAAACACTATATAAGAACATGAAAAAGACACATAGATCACTAATAATAAAAATATAAATTGTGTAAAACTTTGTTAATGTTTTATACTTAAATATTATATTTTGTGTATAGTAAATTTTTGACACATATTATTAAGCAGTTTTCTAAAATGTAGTTGTTTAAAATTATACCTTATATTTAACTCTACATTTGATTTTGTTAATTAAGATATAATTTTATGTATAAAGGAATTAATGAAATTAAGTATGAAATATACATTACGTATGAAATAATGTAATATATATCATATTTTTTATATACAATTTATAGCTACAACTATGTTAGAATGTTTCTTGATTCTTAAGAATGATATTCATGTGCATATAATTATTTTATTTAATATAAAACTATGTCTTTAACAAAGTGTTAAAGAGGAATATTCATTAGTTACATACAAAATATCATTAATCGCTCGATTGGTTCAATGAACGACTGTATAATAAAAGTTCTTGTTGAAAAGAAGATGGAGAAATACCTCTTGTTCAAAAACAACAGACTTTCTTCCATTTAATGCTCAATATTAATGACGGTATATTGAGATAATTTGAAATTACTTAATATATAAATTTTTAAAAACTATCACAAAGGAAAATTGTGATTATACAACCAAGATGTTCCTAACAAAGTTTATGTTTCTTTTGTCTTTCGCAGATTAAAGTATAGCAAATATATATTATGTAGCAAAGCGTTTTGAAAAAAAAAAAAATTATAGAATTATAGCTAATATTTCTTATTGTATGAAAATCAGACATACATCATCAGAAATACAATCAGAAATACAAAATAAAAATGGAAATATATAACAATCGTTTTCCTAAAAAATAAATTGATTGTGCTACCAATAAATATAATCATAAATACAAACTTGTTAACATTTTTCTATAAAAAAGAGAACTAAAAAAATATATTTTAGAAACTGAAACAAAGTACCTAATACTTATATCTCAAACTTGTGCCAAGTTCTTTGATGCTGACACGCATTAAAGAGTCAAACATGTTTTTGGAACTCAAAAGAAGAATACATTCACAAAAATAATTGTATTATTTACATATTATATACAAGTACATAAAATGCACGTAGCACAAAAAAATCTTGTCCAACATTTATGAATTGAATTGAGAGTTATAAATGGAAAGCACACATTTTTTTTGCTTTCAAATTACACATGCGACATGTACTTAATTGCCGAAGTAGTTTACATTGCTATTTCCGGCAACTTGAGTTTCTCAATATTAAAAAATGTGTATTTTTGATAAATTTATCTAGTATTCACTATAAAAAAAAAAAAAACTCATAAGATCAGTTTAGCTTATCTCCGCATCAATATTTAAATCGAGAATTTATAAAATTAGTGCAAATAGCAAGTACATAATTCTGATACTATAAATAAATATAGAAATTATAATTTTACGAGGTTACAATTTGAAATGTAAACTAATTTAGCAAATTTCATACATATTATCAAATGCGTGATATTGCGAATGTGATACACCTTTTTCTTGCTTTACGTGTAACAGGTGGTACGGAAAACTTTCCACGGCTTGAAGCAAGGATTACTCATTATCTTATTACGTATGAAAAATAAATCCGGCAGAGCTCTCTATATATTTTTTTTAATAACGGCATTATTATTAATAATATTAATTATAATAATTAGTTTTTTTTTTTTTTTTTTTTTGACTTTCTACGATTCGATTGAAGCTTATGCAAGCGTACACAGTCACATTTCTAGTTAGAGATTATCTGATTCGATGTTTTTTAAAATTGCCGCATATGGCGTGTAATAATGAGTTTTTTTTTCTAATGAGACAAATCTTCTCTAGATAATGCACTTATTATCAATTTAATCGATAAAAACACAAATTTTCAGATGAAACAGATTGAAAGCACATACCAGCCGCATTACTATATTTTTATTACTATCATTTTATTTTTGCATCATTATTGGTGTGTCTCATTACTAAAATTAATATGTAATAATTATTAATTATAATATTTATATTACTAAAGAATAATAATCAGCTGAAATGGCTATTCCTCCGAGAAGAAATATAATTAATAAGTAAATAATCTTTAAATCTGTATCTCCGTAGCTTTAATTTCTAATATAAGTGCTTATTTTATATCTATATTCAACAAGGTATCCTCGAATACTAACGTAACAATCTGCCAATAGCGCAAGGACTAAATGTATCTCTTACTTTCTCTCTCTCTCTCCCTCTCTCTTTATTCTTTTAGCTGCTATTTCTTGGCTGCAACCAGTATAATTTTTCAATTTATCTCAAGATGAATGAGTTAACAACATGTTATGCAAGCATGACTTCTTTGTAATAGTAATCGATTATATTTGGCAAAGCGACATGTAATTCGCTGCTTAAAACTTGCTGTTCGTCGCAGAGGCATACTTTTTCTTGTGAATGCATTCCACAGGTATCTAGGCACAACAGATACAAAAGTATTACACTGAGAAATATCCATATTTTCTTGTATGTATAGCAATCTATTATTTTTAAAATAGCACTATCATATATATATATATATATATATATGTATATCCTTAAAGATAACACGCACCGAACATTATTCTTTTCTCATGTTCATTATTTATTCTTTTCTTCCTTCATTACGAGCCTGTAGTGTTAAAGCAAGTTACGTATATTTATATATATATCATTTGCACACACACATAAATGAAAACGTCATTTGCAAGATTTTTAACACAACAAGCTCGCACAGCGTAGTAGTACAAGTTACATCGAGCATACATTTAAATCTTCGATCACATTTTCCCGCATATAGCTTTATCTATATATAAAATCTCTTGTAGAATATCTCTCTCTCCCACATATCTGTTACCGCACAGTATCCATATAATTACCTCGATTTACGTACATTATCCATATATTATTGTATTGTGTTTATGTTTATGTTTATGTGTGTATATTGAAGATAGCATCCCAGAGAGTATCTCTAGTTTTACGAATAATGTATTTAGGGCCCTTCTCACTTACTATATGATGCGGCGTCTTATCCATAATGATGTAACTACAGTGTTTTCTCTCATATGCAATTTGTTTCTCTTCTAATGAAGAAATAAATACAACGCGTTTCTATGAGGGGAAAAGGGGGAAACAAGTCTCTTTTGTAAGCTCTCCTACAAATATCTATATACTATCTCTTTGAATCGCACATTACGCGAGGAGAATAGGATTTTCTCTTTTCTTCTAATTGGAGAAAAAAAAATACAATATGAAACACATGTGTTGAAACTCTAATACACAATTATCAGACGATGGGATGTGATAGGATGTTTTTAAATTTCTTTTTCCAGGTTATTTGCTATTCAATGATCGTGTTCCTTAAAAGAAAAGCTAACTTCCGATGTTGCTACAACAAAACAGAGGATACATGGGAAGTGATTGTAGAGACTAGCAATTATTGGGATCTGGCGGTGTGACAAGGTATTCATCGGCACGTTTATGATCAGACAATGCTCGCATTGTATATGAATCCTGTGGTAAATCACTCTTTCTTCGTAAAAGTGGTTTCACTTTGTTCACGTTCGTCATTTTCTTCGCCTGAATGTCAGAAAAAAAAACAAATATTACTTAAAATATTAAAAGTGTCTGACATATCAAAATAAAACGGTAAAAAAAAAGTTATCACAAAGTTGAAAAATCTCGGCATTAAATATCAATTCGTACCTCATTAGCTTTAGCTTCGATCTTTTCCAAAGTAAGTGGAGTCTGATCCGTATCGCCGTCTTCGTCCGGTGGTGAGTTGTCTATGTGTTGCGGCGATATAAACGATGTATTATTCGTTGTATCTTGAATTGCCAGAGTATAGTGTGGATGCCTCATTGCCAGCGCTTCAACACGCATCCACGCTTCGTCACGATCTTTCATAAGTTTTCTCTCCTTTTGACGTTCCTAACAAAAATTTTAAATCACAATAAAACAAAATTAAAAATAAAAATAGCGCTAGATATTAAACATGGCTAAGTGATTCTTTTTCTTCCTTTTTTATCAACAATATTTTTACAAATTGTCTTCATTATCTATGTACATACCTGATAGTACTGTGTCGTGCACTCATCGAATACTTTTTGGTTCATTTCCATGAAAAGTTTCAGAGCGTTGTAAATTAAACCGTGGATTGTCTTGTTCCAGTGATTGCGAGAATTTCTATAAAAAGCTGGGTACATTATCGGTAAGATAACGGAATAATTGTCGGATATCAAGGACATTATGTATTCATTATTCCAATAATAGAGAGCTCGTTCTGCCACCTAAAATACAAAGCATATAAGTAATGTGAGATATACTATCCAAAATGGAAGCATTGAAGTCATGTTTACCTGGAAATGGGGCGACGACACACACTTGGCTAATTGCCTGAACAACGGATCCATAACTTTTTGAAATTCAGCTGGTTCGATAACGTCCAAGATCTCCTCGAGCTCGTTCAGGAACATGACTTCTTTAGGGGAATGTGTTTTTGGCCAGAATTTTAGGAGATTTCTAATTACAGGTTCCGTCAACGATGGATCCTTCTCCAAAAATTGAACAACACAATACGCTAGTTGTGGATGATATACGGATAATGACTTAGCTTTATGTAAAGGTAACAGAACTTTCAACAAAAACACTTTATGTTCCTCTTTTAATGGCAAAGCAAAGCCATTTATAATACTGCAAAAAAAAACAACATCGATTAGTATACGTCTTATCTTAACGTTTTCTCGGAATTGCATTAACTTGCGTAAAAACACTCATTATTACCTTCCTAAGATTTCAAGCAGCTCTGCGATGCCATTGTGGTGCTCCGTCTCATATATAAATCGATAGAAAACATTATTGATTTGTTTCCTAATGTACGCCCGAAGTCCAAGGAATTTACCGTAAATCCGATGAAGAGTCGTCTTAAGAAAATCCCTCTCTCTCGGATCTTCGGAATCGAACAGCTCTAAGAGCTGTAGTACAAATTTTTGATCTATATAGCGCCTTGCTATAGACGGCTGAAAGTCCTGTGACTCCAGCAACCGCAAAAAAAATTCGTAGACCAACTGCAAGTGCGGCCAAGATGCCTCCAGTGTTGGCTCGTCTTCCTCCGGATCGAATTCCGCGCCATTAGGATTTGATGACGGTGGTAGGGTTCGGAATAAATTCACGGCAAACTGCAAATATAGTCCTCATCTCAACAAAAATTTTTATCCTTGTTTGTATTGATATATTTTTAAATTAATCTAGTATAATTTGCAATATATATATATACAGTCAAACCTCGATAACTCGAAAATCTCTATAAGACAAAAATGTTGTTCATTTCTTTCCGCTCCGCGGAAAGAAAAAAACCCTTTGATAAGTCGAAACCTTTACAACTCAAAGAATTTAGCTCTTCCCTTGAAATTCGAGTTATTGAGGTTTGACTGTATATCTTATCTAATATCGAAATATGATATTTACCATATTCACAGCCTCGGGATATATCGCTTCGGTAATAACATTTCTGTTTTTGGTTACATATTCGACCATCTCGTGAAGGGCAGTCCGCTTTACCTCTTTCCATTTTAAATCCGATAGGGGATCTGATTCGAAGTCAAAAAGAACACAGCACTGCCGTAGCTTCTGTATAAACAGTTCTTCCCGCTCGTTACCTTGTTGAGTTTCTGAAATCAAATAACCGATAATTAAATAACATCACATTTGGTAATTATATGGTGAATAAAGATTACGAGATAATAATTACAATGTGATTAATGTATCACACTTGTCGTAATTTACAACCACATTAATACGAAATTTATGTATACGAATATCAATGCAAATCCAAAGCGACACAAGTATACATGTACTTAGTTTGCATTACTGATTTCTTTATCTTATTTGCATTATTTTGCCGACGTAAACGAAGACCTGTTAATACCTACCTACCTTTCTAATCGATATTTTTCGACATAAAAATGGATACTCAAAAACAAACATACAACTCTGAATTTACATATTTCGCATTTCAAAGATACGCATACGATATGTTATCGACGATATGTACAAAGTTAAGGGAATATAATACAATTTTATGACTTTATTTGTAAATGTTATATAAAAGTTGTCTTTTGTATTAATATCCAAAATGCTATAACATTCGCGATTTTAAAATAAACTTTATGATGTATAAGTTTTTTTACATACATATCGTCGAATCTATATCCCTTCTAATAACTATAGGTATATGTATAAAAAATAATCTGATATCAGGTAATTGTCAAATATATACATATATATATGTATTAATTTTGTAGTAAAAAGTGGGATCAAATATATATAAAGAGAACTTGGTGAATGAACTTGATTTAAACGACAGAGAGAACTTTACCGATTAGCAGAGGTTGCAAAGGTTGATACTGTAGCGCGAACGTCACCGGATAAGCCTTGTTCGAATCTTGGGATATCATCGTCGCCAAGGCAAGACCCTGATGGAAACTAGGACTTTTGGGCAGAGCACCGCCCAGAGACGAGTTAATTCCACCCACGTGAACCATCGCGCGATACTAAGTGGACAGCCGGGTGTTGCAACTGTTTATACACACACACACACACACATCTTATTTACATTGGATCTCTTGAAAAGGTTCGAACTGAACAACGCTGTCTATCGATACTTTCTTACAACAGTTTGCAACACTTTGTATACATACACTTGTCAGAATTAGGTCCCTTTAAAAAGGGTCAAAGTTATGACCAATAATGATCTATATCTTTTGCAATATCTGTTTCTTTCGTAGAATCAAAGTTCTAATTAACGAAATTCGCCAAATTTTGATCAAAATTCTTCGAATTCTCGAATAAGATTCACTAAGTCTACTCCTTTAGGCTGAAAATTGTTTAAACTATAAAACACACACACACAAACTTTTGATCCGATCTAAGAAAGCTTTCAAATTTATTGAATCCACATAGAGTCGCTTACTATTTACTCTCATTTACTTTACTGTGTTCTTTCAGTTCAATCTAGTTGTAGTTATTCAATCATAAAATGCATTATCACTTTCACTGAGCACTTGCAATACTTGCTACGAAAATCGATTAACCAATCTGCATTTCCTAAATTAGCCCGTCTCAAGGATTCTCGCAACACAATGATTCTCGCGTTCGCTCTTAAGCGGACCTTCCCAATGTAACGACCCACCGACACCAAAATACTATCCCCGTCTGTCGTTAATTCTCCGCAGTTGTTTAAACGCTCGCAACAATCTGTTGCTTCGTTAATCGATCGAGTACAGGCAAAGCAAAGCTCTTCCCCTCAGCTTTTCCTCTCTTTGGGATGTTCGGCGCTTGCGAAGCCACCCTTGCGAAATACCGGCGAGCACTAACGGCGCGTTCTCGCGAGTCCCCGGAACCCGGTGACCGCGTTTGTGAGGCGGGCGGGGGAAAGGGCGGGTGAGGGTGGCGAGCGAGATTCACCTAAGTGGCACCGGGATCGATGAACTCTCGCCGGTTCTCCCCGGGATCTCGCGCGGGTCAACTCTCGATCGGTCACGGGGTCGATACACTCCACCTCGCTGAGACTCGTATGCAGGTGGAGCCGCAGCCAGGTGGAGCTCTCGTGCGGGTGCGGATGCTGGTCTCAATGCGGTTAGAGCAGATCAGAAAGGGATGTCGAAACAAGCGGCGGTGGAGCACAAGGGGGCAAACAGGACTGTTTACGTTGGAAAAACGGGGAACTGTGGATCCGGACGCCTGCGCAGCTACCGCCGCGCGCAATCGATAAACTCTGACGTAGAAAGCACTCTTGCAACCTCAATTGACCGGCATCATAATGAAAAAGAGCAGAAGAACCGATTTCTCGTCTTCTTTTCCTTTTCTCTCTTTTCATCGTTCTCCCTCTCATGTTTTGCCTACTTCTGTGTTGTTTGTCTTTAGTTGCAGCGCATCTCACGACGCATCGTTGTCAACTTACCGGACAACAGTGGCAATTTCTGCAATTCCCGATTTTTTGATATATTGAACCTCGAACTGCTTTGCCGTTTGTCCTTCTTGATTACGGGTCCACCTGGTTGGTACTTGATTTTGTTAATGAGCGTGGGTGGTGGTGCGTTACCTACTGGCGGTCCCGCTGTCGCCTTGTTCGCCTGTGGACAAACAAGAAAAAAAAATAACAAACAATACATTACATTTTCACAAATATTATAATAGCGAGAACAAATAATAAATTAAACAAAAAATCATTTTGTTTATTTTATTTTTTTACAAAAAAAATAAAATTTTAGTTAGTTTTCAAGCTGTCTGTGCTTCTAATTGAGTGTTTATTGCGCGTATACAAAAACTGTCTCTAATTCTCACTTTTAATTAAAATACACATGTTGCTATGAGTTGAATCTGAATAGAAGTTGGCGATTAGCGGATTTAATTCGCACAGTTGCTTGTCTTCCCGTTAATTTGAGCTGACCGCAGGTGAACGATCGATCGCGAGTGATTGCTCACTCTGATCGGATTAACGTTATATAAATGGAACGCGTGTGGAAGCGACGTCGGCCTTTTATACGGCATGATGCGTGTAAAAAAAACTGCATGTACGCGCGCGCAATCTCTTTTATAATATTGTTAAACCTAAAAGCTCTATGGAGAGATTATTTTTTTTTTAAATTTAGAATTATATTATTTTTATGAAAACGTCAAAGAGCACGAAAGTAATTATCTGTCAATTAAAATTAAAATCTTCATCGCGAATTTCTAAAAATGTACATTGTAACATTGTAAAATTTCAACTTTTTTCACTCTTTTAACAGTGTAACGTTGTTTTTAATACGTAGTATTCAAAATATTGTATATTACAAAAATGTAAGTGCATAAAATTGAATGTTTTACATATGATGTTTTAATCAAGAAAAAAGCACACTCTTACAAATATATATTATCACGCCAATCACTTTATTCGCTTTATTACAGATAAACGAGTAAGCTTTACAAAAAAAAAAACTACATGAATATATAGAAAGCGTATGTCTTTTAATCGTCTTTGATTGTTGCTACAAAGTTAAGTTGGATATTCAATAAAGAAAGTCAAACACAAACAAGTGCTCTTAGATCTTGATGTCTAAACAAATGTCTTGACGCACCCCCTTTTTCTCGGTAATGAACTCAATCAAATACTCTTCTTTTCGCACAGCAACTTTATTACAAACCAATCGACAAGTTATACACGAGCTTTCTTCACCCACTTTCGCGATCGTTCCGCTTTCGGAGTTTCGTAGCGCAACATCGGATATCTTAATTAACAATCACCGATTTTTTTTTTATTATTAATCGTAAGAAACCAACTTTTCCTCGTCGAAAATTTAAACAATGATTACTTACATAATACAAATTTAAAACGCCTTATAATTGAAATATAAATCAAAAATTGTATAGCATTGTATTATCTTATTTATCGTCGTATTCAAATTTTGAGAAATAAAAGATATGTTTTGAGAAATAAATTATTGTTACCTACTTTAAGGCGCAATCGTCAATACACATTCAACGTTGAAATTGCACAATCAATAACGCATCTGCGCAGTACGATAACAGCATACGCAAGATTCAAGTATATAATTTATTTATAAATGATAAAGAGAATAAAAATTGTAAGAATACAAAATGTGCGATGTGTGCGGTTTTAGATGTGAATAGAAGTAGAGAATCGCAGTTCAATGAATTTATCATGAAGTTTACCGTTCATTCTCTCGATTCTAGTTTAAACTATATTCGTTGCTGTAATATAATTTTCAGAAAAACAAGCACGCGCGAACATATGCGTCTGATAAACAAAGAGTTAACAAGCCTATTATAATTGTATATACATTATCTCACTCGAAGAACTCTAGTAGTAGTAGTTATCGCATTGAGAGTGCTCATAGAAGAATCACACAACAGTCATTTCGTCAAGTCGCGACGAGTGTCCCGAGTATATTTAGCAAACTGAAACCAAACGAAAATACTTTGCGCGCGTTTCTTTTAAAATATGTAAAAATTATACAAGAAATGTTAAACCACTTCTTGACCTATGGTTGAAGTAAATAAAATTATATATATATACATAATTTTATATATATATAATTATATATATATA